TCTCCAATTTTACATCTTCTTTTCACTTGGCAACACTGAATTTTTCTTCCTCTCAGCCATGGCCTTGGATCGCTATGTAGCCATCTGCAATCCCTTGCATTATCCCAGAATTATGTCCCCAAAGTTCTGCTGTAAATTGATTGTTGGATGTTGGATGTTTGGCTTTTTAGGGTACATTGCCCCAGTTGTTTTGATCTCCAAATTGTCCTTTTGTGGAGACAACATCATTGATCACTTTGTGTGTGATCCTGTACCAATTCTTTCCTTAGCTTGTCCTCCCCTTGGAAAAGCTCCACTTACCTGGCAGATTAGCATAAACACTCTGTTTTTAGTCAATGTTTTCTTTGTGATGTTCTCCTATGGTAATGTGATCTACACTTTGATGAAATCCTCCAGCAAAGGTCATTGCAAGAAAGGCTTCTCTACCATCTCTATGCATCTCTTGGTGGTGACACTTTTCTATGGCACTGTAGGAGCAATGTATGTAATTCCAAGTAGTAAAAGACATTCAAACATTAGTAAGGCCATTACTGTCTTCTATGCTGCTGTCACACCATTTCTCAACCCATTGATCTATTGTCTGAGGAATGACAAGGTGAAAGAGGCATTGGGCAAACTGGTCAGAAGAATGATGAGATTGCTGCTGAAAAAGAGCACAGTGTAAAAGAGGTAAATCTGACTGTACAACACCTAAATGTTTTTAAATTCCTCTAAAGAAAAGAAGCATGTAGATCTGAAAGTGTTTTTCAGTCTTCAGAACTTTATAATTTTTTAAAGAATTTTGAGTTCTGTGTCATGTGAAAATCACAAAAAATAAAAAAGCATATTCTCCTGATTTCCTCATTGGTTCAAAATATGTGACTTTCCTAATAGATGGGATCAAAACATGATTAAAGGCATCTTACCAAATTCTGGATTGCAATTCTTATCATACCTGGATGACCTGACAAGTATTTTACCAAAGAAGAAATAGACAAAAGAGTAATAGCTAGATGAAGAATACTTTCCAGTATTCTGGATGAAGTGTATAAAATTGAAGAGGATATTTGGGCAGAACTATTTCTTTATTCTGAAAGGAGTTTTTACCTTTTCATAATGCTAGTGACCCTTAATTCATTACCCAGAGAAAACAGTATATGGTGGACTTTGTATTTTTCCATTGGAAGTTTTTTTCAATCTTCTCTTTCAAAGGGAAGACAATGAGCCTTCCATTACATTTTGAATTTCAAGGCACTATTTTAACTAATAGTCTGTATAACTGCTTGTTATTTTGAGCTTTAAAATGTTTGACCTGTGATTGTTTTATTGTGTTTGGGATGTTTGTAGCTGCCTTGGAGACTAGAATATAGCAAGGGGGGGGGGATAATTAGTATAGCTAATTTTCATGTCAAGGGTAGTTAGGATTGCTGGGTGGAGAGGGAAGCAAATCCAAGGGAATTTACTGTACCAGTATACTATAAGTAAGGGCAGCACCATTCATCAGTATCATACTTTTGGCAGGTAAGATCCCCAGTGGGGGCAGCCATTTTTTATGCTGGTATAACATTCTGTCAACTTGACTGGTAGATAGGTAGTCAGTTGTGAGGATGAACTCCTGAACACACAAAATCTATGCACAGATAGAGTCTTCATAGAATTCACACATATATTTTCCCCTGGGCATTGCACTCCATTGTTGCATATTCCATAACTTCTGATGGGTATTTACAACATCTCACATCTACACTCAAGCCCTATCATGTTCATGTTCATGTTCATGTACATGCACATACTACCACTCCTACTGCTGTTGCTAAATATTTTGTCAGTTGCTAGTCCTGAAAAGCTATAGCAGGTGGCAGCTTGAACAAAAACAACAACAGCTAAAAAGTATAAAGTACATTTTTATTGCTTTATGTTAGCCTTTAGAAACTCCTCAAAGGGGAGGGATCTTTTTCCAGTTTAGTACAGAACCCAGAAAACTTACAGTGTGCTTTAAACAATAACAGAGAGGTGTTGCGCTTGTACATACTCCAAAGGCATTCTTCTGCATAATTTTTGATATCTCCATGGCATAGTTTTCTGGGCATTGAATATTCTGATTTGAAATTGATTTGGGGAAGTAGGGGAATGGACATTTGTACTCAGTTTAAAACAATGTATTAGAAACAATCACAACTAATTAATATCACCTTGGTTATGCTCTCATTAAAAGAAGAATTGAATGGATAGAACAAACAGATAATGATTGCTAAGGCAGCAATGTCCATAATTACTACAATGATAAGACAAGTATGGCAATGTCCTACATTTAAGTGTTGGATGTAATATATTCAGTGCAAAGCTATTGCATGATGGTGACATTCAAAATGGACATTTTTGCCCCATACGGTTCATTATACAGCACCAGGTCTCATGAATTATAGAGAACATCTTTACTGATCAGTTGTGAACCTGTTATACTTTTATTTTGCATTGCTAATTCATAACATCCCATTTCCATTAAACACAACAACCTGACAACTATCAGGGGCACTTGCAGGAAGTGATGGATGGGGAACCTCTTGAATTTCAGCCTGAGTGATGACAGAAACACTGATTACCATATGAGTATAGAGGTTGCTGAGCTCTTCTTTGTTCAGTTCCATTGCTTTACCTGATGATAATTTACTCTTGGGAGATTTCTAAAGACCACCCGTGAATGCATGGAAATAAGACAAACCATTTGTTCTTGAAGGAGAAAGAGACTTATGTATTTTGCACTTTGAAAAACAAAAATGGGGAAAGCGTATACACATAAGAACCTCAGGGATGAATCAGGAAGAGTACTTGGATACAATAGGAATGGAAAGAATCTCATGGAAAAATTCAACATTACCCACTATGGAAGAATGGTTGGTGAAATGGACAGAACTTGCTGAGATGAACAAATTGGTTTCTTTGATTAGAGGAAGGTCATTACTGACATTCATCAATGGCTGGAAATCTCTTACAGATTTTGTGTGAGAAAGAAAATGAATTTGTGATTTATGGTTTTGATGATTAGTAAGAATAGGTTATAGGAAGAAAGGAATTATGATGAAATTGGAAAGAGTGGTTTGATTAAAAATGTATGTATAAGTACTGAGAGGGATATCAGAAGCCATTTCTCTCTGTATATAATTTTTTAATGTTTTCTGTCTTCTTATTTTCCTTTCCTTTTTTCTATCTTTTTTTTCTTTTTCTTTCTTTTCTTTTTTCTTCTTCACACTTACTTTGCTATATTTTTTCTTTTTTTCTTTCTTTAAATGTATTTCTTATTATCTATGTACAATCTTTTAATAAAAAAATATATTAAAAAAGGAATGGAAGGAATCTTGACTTATCAATTCCTGCATTACGTGGAACTGGACATATATTATGCAAATATTTTTAACTTAAGAAAGATCTAACAGTCTTTTACTACACTGAAAAATTTACACACATACACACACACACACACACACACACACGTGTATGCATGAATGTATAGGATCTACAAATCAAAAGTACCAGTCATAACTATCTGGTAGCCTGTGTGTGAATAATGATAATAACACCACCATTACCACCAGCAACAACCAATATAATTATACACAATGATTTCAATTCTTTTTCCTGCATAATGAAAACTAAATTTGAATCACACTTGATATGGAATTAATGGTTTGGGGAAATCAGTAGCACACAACTGTAATAAGGGGAAGGCTCCCTGAGGGTTGAATCACCCCTTCCTCTGAGTTACTTCAGTTCTGAGGTAACCACACCTGTGGGTGAACAGCAGTTGGTAAAGTCAGTCTCCTTGCTGCCACTTCCCTTCTCTGTAAACTGGCTTCCCCCTTCCCCACCAGCCCTCTGGGGAACCAGGAGAGGATTGAAGGGCCTG